AAAGAGGAACGCAGGCTGGAAAGAGTCAGAGAAGACACATTTTAGGAGATTCTAAAGCAACCTCTGACTGAGGTAGAAAAACAGAAGCCTCTTGTGCAGGAGAGGAAAACTTTCTGGAAATTGAAGAGATTACCAGAGAAATTCCTTCTGTGCTTACAATGGTAGTAGCCACTTCAAACTAAAGAATTCCTAAGTTCCCCAGTAGTATTAGAACCCATCTAGAAAAAGCGTTCATAGCATTCCATGTTCAATTCCAGCAATGCATGGTTCTCATTAGGAAAACACATACGCATATACCTTTTAGATTTTTTTTAAAAGTTAGTTTCCATTTGCTTAGGCAATTTTCACTGTGTAAAAAAATTCCATCTTAAAGCCAGACCTTTTATAAGATTTTTTTTTAAAAAAAAGATTCTGACTGTATCTACCCATTAAGGCCACCATAGGCATTTCCTTCTACATTTCCCTCCATCGTTTAGGTGATTAGGAAATTATGCAAGATTTGGGATATCCCCCCCCCCTGCAATTATCCTTGATATCCTCCTATGAAGTAAGATCCCTTGAGAGACAGCCCAGTGTCACCCAGATATAGTCATTATTTCGTGGTAATCTGAATTTGATTTTTCCTGAACAAAGTCCAACACTATCCATTACACCCCAACAGCTCTCTTAAGTTAAATTTAAACTTAGGCAAGGACCAAACCAGATGGATCCCTTCATTCATAAGGCAACATAGGTTTTCATCAAGATTGGCTTTCAGCATGTAAGTACGCTAGGAAAGATCTACATCCTCTTGTCAAAAACATGATTTCCCCCCAGATGGCCTGGATTATTGCCAATGGACAGTACTATCTGGGGCTGGTGGAAATCATAGTCCAGAAATCTAGAAGTCATCGCACTAGAGAATGGTGGTCTAGATCAGATCAACCTAGGCATCTTCCAGATGTGTGGACTTCAACTTGCAGAATTCCCTAGACCACATGGCCATTGGGAAACAATAGTTTAGATCCCCAACATATTCTGTGCCAGAGCTGACTTTCCTTGCCTTCTTGAGGGGCTAGTTCCATCCACACTAAGGTAACCATTGCCTGATTCACACACATAACACTAAGCTAGGGTTTGTTTTGCTTTATTGGGGTTCACTGGAACTTTTAGGCCACAAGTCATAATTTAACTCTATGAATTGAAGATCATGGCTTGTTTTAGCATGGCCTGTAATTACAGCTGAATTAGAAATGCTGGTTTATTGTGGATTTGCTTCTGGGCTCTGCCCAAGCCCCCTTCCAATTCACAGAAGTGCACAACAACCGCAGCTAAAAAGAAATTGTAAGCAAACTGACAACAGCCCCAAAACATTGCTGATCTGGCTTGTTCAAATCATGATTTTAAAAATCCTGACTTTCCCCCATGTATATCTAGTAGTCATAAGAGAGCTTTTTCCTTCCTAGCCAGACCAAAAATGGCTAGGGAAAATTGAAGATGATTGTAACCAGTTCGTAATTTATGGAATTGCACATATTGTAATCGTTGTTCCCTTCATTTTATTCTGAAACATTTTAGAGCGTGCACAGTATGCTCTCAGCCAAGGTATATTCAGACAAACAGCCACATTGTTTTAAATGCCCTTAACAGACATGCTTGAAACAGCATGCGTCTTGCAGATATGCAGTCCACATGCTGTTTTAAGCACGGAAGATTCTGCTCAAAGGAAAATCGGTTACGCCTTGAAACGTCCGCAGAACAATAGAATCCACTTGTTTGATTAAGGGACATGGATCAAGATTCCAGAATACAGGTTGGAGTCAATAATTGGAGCACAGTTATGAGAAGGACCATATATCACTTCTATGAAGAAAACATCAGATTTAAATTCGGAGCTGGGGACAATTTCCATCTGAAAATCTACCAGGGTTGAATAAGAACAGAGGTAAGCAACCTGAACCCCAAAGCCAAATATGCCTCCACAGATTCTTCTATTTGGAGGCAGGAAACATGCAAATATTCCTAAATAAATAAAAGAAACTTAACGCAACAGCTTCAAAGAAAAAAAACAACAGCTGCAAAGTCCAGGGGGAAAAAAAAGCTAAAGAAACAATCAAATCCACACAGCACCACCTCTCTGCCCCTCCAAAAATGTTGCTGATGACGTTGGCATCAAAGTTGCCCACCCTGAACTAAAACAGATGAAAGGAGGTTTTCTAACAAGACCATTTTTTCCCTTTGTTCTTTTGCTAAAATTGTTTTGGTGTATGTTCACTTTTTATCATTTTCTTAAAAATAGCATTATACAGGCTAGTTGCAAGAAGGAGAGGAAAAAAAAAACTTTCCCCACTGACGCGTTTCATTCAGCTCTGAGCTTCACTGGAGCTGCTACCTCTTTCCATATTATCAACATGCGGATGACATTGTGGCTTTCTAGGGGAAGAAGTGGGGAGAAACATCCCTTGTTCTGAAGGGCTGTAACCAGGCACTCTCAACAAAACCCATCAGGCTCATTTACAAAATTTATACAATTACCAAAAGCTTAGGAATTCAGCAACTGTGTGTGTGCATTTTGTTTTTAAAAGAAAAGGGTATGTGAGGACAACAGCATTCCATCACTGAATTGCGTCTTCCTGTGTTCCATTCATTCAAGCAACCCGAGAAATCTTTTCTCATCCTCTCGTAGGACCAGAAATGGAGCTGAAGAGGAGTTCCTGATTTCTCTTGAGAAGGCCTAACGGCCCCATCAACTCATCCAGAAGGGTAATTTTTAGAGCAAATTCATATCTGGCTTTGTAGCATCTTGCCAGGGCACCTCTGAATTAGATTAGAAATGACCTACACCGTTTTCTTGTGGTCTCTTTGCTTTTTCTGCCCCCATCAAAAAAAGCCCCCCAGGGGTTCCTCCCCTTGCCCTAATGCTTCATGACCTTGCTGAGAAACAACTGCAGGAGCCTTTAAGAAACAGGCATGGGCTTTCTTGTCTAAAGGCCACACTGTTATTTACTCATTCACATAAACAGCAATGCAGTCTTGACACGTAGTAATGGCATCTGAGATTCCCACCCCCTAACAACCACTGTTGAAGATACACACAGAGTATTTTGTCTATACTGAACTGAAGCGTGCAACTGTTTATTTGGCATTTTCAGACTCGCTGGGAAAGTGAGAGTTTAACATTACTCCACCGATCTGCGCAAAGCAGAGATATCTTAACACACCATGGATATGTAACACATGTGACGTCCCAATCTCGGTTACACACAGGAATGAATCTAGTTCAGCTTCTGAACAAGAAGCTTCTTTATTCATATCTACTTAACCTAGACAACAGTATAAAAATTTATATTTGTAGTAAAAATAAATTTTAGAACACAAACTATTTTGTGGAGTCCTTGGTGCTCTCTGAGCTTGGCTGTTTGCTTGTAGACATTTCATTACCTGACTAGGTAACATCATCAGTGCGAGCGAGGGTGGGGTTTGCTCCCTGTTTATATACAGGGAGACCACCAAGGAATTACCAAGGAGAAAACCACACCCCCACCAACACTGGCAGGGCGAGCTACTGTATATAAACAGAGAGCAAACCCGACACTCACTCGGACTGATGATGTTACCTAGTCGGGTAATGAAACGTCTGCAATCAAACAACCAAGCTCAGAGAGCACCAAGGATTCCTCTGGTCATCCCTGAGCTACATATATTCTCTTCTATTGGGAGAACCTCTTTTGTAGCCTTTAACTTCCTGATGTTTGCACCATTTCAAAAAGGTAATTAACCTTCTCACTGGTAGAATAAAGGCTAAGAATTTTGTGCATAAATGGACTGAACTGGGATTTAAACCCAGAGGCAAATTCAACGTTTTTTTCCACCATTCTTCATTTAAAAGGGGTGAAAAAATAATGAAAGAAGGACTGACCCAAGGAGTAGAAGTCTTGCCCTTTTATTTATGGCTTATAGAAAGGCTGCAAAATCATCACTGCTGTCATTAAGGTTACTCTTATACACTTGGGAGTAAGCCTGCTAATCTAAATAGGATGTACTTTCAAATAAGTATGTTTAAGATCCTGTTAATCATTTAAAGTCTCACCTATGGAACGGAGCGACTTCCTTTAAGATTTTCAGCCTACTGTATTTCCATTTGGAATTTCCGAAAATATGCATTGCATTTATATCCCCTTGGAATGAACCCTCAAAGTAACTTTGCAAGGTATCCATGATTAAGATGAAGTAGGTCCCAACCCAACCATCAAAGACAAATGATTCCTCTCCCTGCTCCCAGTTCTAGACCTACACGACTGTGGCTCACCAGCGGCCCACATCTCTGGATCTATCACTCTGGCTGTGCTTTTATGATTGCAGAGGTGTCAGTATCGGTGAGAATCACGGTTGAAACGTTTATGCAAGTCATAAATCTCATTGCGTGGCAGTGGACCAGTCTCTACCTCTAACGGTGGCCAACCCTGCAGGAATGTCATGAAAGTAAAACTCAGGAAGACAGGATTGGAGAGTGGTATAAATTCCAGGGTAGCAACACAAGGCTTTTTTTGTTTTTGTTTTAATGCCATGATTCCATAAACCGTTGATATGTCTAAATGGCTCCACTACTGAAGTGGATGTACTCCTCCTCTCTCTGCCTGGGGTTTGTATATGTTTTTAGTTTTAATTCATCTTGACTTTTTAAGGTTGACTTCTTTGTATTTGTAATGCCTGTTTTTATAGATGGATTGTATTTATTTGATGATTGCATGCCGCCCAGACTCACTTCTCGAGAGGTGGGTGTCTATATAAATTTGACTAACAAACAAACAAACAAATAAATAAATAATTCCTTCCCCTTAACCCATTTGCAGGACGCAGCTCAATGAAGACTCTGCTAGCCAGAAGTCCATGCGCTGGCTCAACTTTTTCCTTCCCCTCCTCAAATTGTCCGATGCCCGTTTGAAAAACCGCCACCAGCTCCGTGCCTCCCTCCCCAACAGCTCGCACGCCGCCTCGCCTGCGCTGCCCGACCCTCTTACCTTCTCTGGCTTTCAGCAAAACTGTATTGGCTACGATGTTCTCCAGCTCCATGGTGCTCCAGCTTGGAAGATGCTGCGGTGCGGCACGGTCCAGAAGAAAAGGGAGAGAAAAAAAAAGGATGGGAGGGAAGGGGGGAGCCGGAGAAGAAAATAGAGGGGCTTGAGGGGAGAGCCAGCTGTTTCCTCGCAGTCGTCTTCGGAACGCTAGTGTTTTCTCCAGCTTTTTAAAAAGAGGCCGCCAGCATCCTAGACCTCAAGGTATCACATCCCTCCAGCGCTCGCTCGCTGTCGCTCGCCAGAGGACTGAACTACGGTCCGGCAGGGCGCGAGGGGGAAGCGAGATCCTCTCCCCCACCTTTGGAATACCAACTGCAACGCAATCCAGGCAGAGAAATCCTCTTACCCGCGCTCCTTCGCCCCCCCTCCGCCAGCGTACCCACGGCTTTCCGGCGCCGGTTAAGCTCTTCGCCTGGGGCGGGCGGAGGGGGTCAGCAGCGCTGAGAAAAAGCCCCCTTAGCCCCCTGCCCAGCACAGCATGCCCGGGGAGGGGGCAGGGGAAAAAAAACCTAAGGCTCAGCCGCGGGGATGTGCAGGCGCATTTCGCGGGTGCGATCCTTCTCCTCGCCCCCTGCCCAAGAAATACCGATCCGTGTTTTTCCGAAGGGGGAATGGGGTGGAAAGGAAGTTCTTCCCGCCGACGCGGAGCCGACGGAGAAGGGAAAGCGAGGGACGGACCTCTGGAATCTTTCTGTCCCAGCAGGAAATAGCATGGATACTAGAAAGAGCCCGTAGCGATCAAACTGGCTACAAAACGTTCCAAGAGGGCCGGGCTCCGAGTTGGTGACGTCGCCAGCCACGGGGGCGGGCTCCTATGTGTCAACGTTCGAAAGAGTTATGTAATCGCCTCGGTCCCACCTCCTCCTTTTTTTTTTAAAAGTGATTCTCGAGTGCATCCTGGGAAATGTAGTTTGGCCGGAAAGCCCAGGAAAGTTTGGTCCAGTCAGAGGAGAGACGTTATCTAAGTGGAATGCTGACCGGGAAAAAAAAAAACCTTTAACGACTTTTTGCGTGAAACAACAAGCAAGCAAGCAAGGAAATTATGATATATATGGTTTTGATGATTAGAAAAAAAAAAGACTATAGAAAAAATGTAAAATGTAAGTAAGAAGTTAATTTACATCTATACTTATAACTGCTGTAAAGAAAATCGGAAGCTACTTTATAATTTTCTTTTCTGCAATTTTGGCTTTGGCTTTTTCTTCTTTTCTTTATTCTAAACATTAGTTCTTTTTTTATCTTTTAAAAAATTTGTACATACATACATACATATATATAATTTATTTATATATAAATTCATATATAAACAAAC